TTAAAACAGCAGACGACATGACGGGAGATAAAAACCAAAGAGAGTAGCCTTAAAAGAGGCAAGACAAATTGTTATATGATGAAAATTAATAGTGCCCATCCTGTAGTGTGTCTAATCTGTGACTGTGTGATAGTAGATTAAGTAAGAAAGAGCACTGGAGGAGATGCCTATGATATAGAAATATGCTGTCAAATTCTGATCCCAGTGCAGTTTAGAAACATTACCTGGCTTAAAGCTATAAAGAATAGTAAAAGGACTTGTGGCAGCGGTGTTTGGAAAAACAATCATCATCATAATGAGTGGTTTGTATTGTTGTAATAACAGGCAGAGACATATGTAAACGCCATCATCATACTCTCACATTCACACATGTAATCCACATGATTCACGCACAATATTCAAAATAAGTCATATATTAGCTTTGTTTAAGAAACTACATTTTGTACTGATCATATTAACCAGTTTGTTTTTTCTCAATTGAAAAGATAAACCAATCAAACGAATCACTTATTTACAAATATTTCCACTTTCTTCATGTTCTCTATAAGAACTAAGACGGATGTTAAGATTTATGGAAGATAATAGCAATAGTCTGAGGAACAGAATGACATCAACACAAAATATTGAGTCATGTAGACTACTATTATGACATATTTATTCCCACTTTGAGGCTTGACATCTTCAGTCTTTAGGGGGAGTCATAGAAGGTACAACATTTAACAGAAGTTAAGTAAATGAGATTTTATTTCGTGTTGTTAACTATTTATTTAAACGCCATCTGCAGTCCTCGGTAACACGCTGCCTTCTTCCTAGGGGTCTAAAAGTAAACACTACGATGTCTGCAGTGGCTTCACGTTAACTTGCCATTCTCCTTTCAACCCACATAAACATGGACACGCTCCTGCTGTGGTGTCTTCTGCTAAATGTCTGGTTAACGTAGCGGACATTTACGCTACACCAATTCAACAGCAGCCCTGATACAAACCATATACTAATTTAATAATTTAGTCAGGTATATTGGTACGGTAGATTCGTTTCCGCTAACGTTGTTATGGAGTGGATTCGCTGAAAGTAACGTTAGGCTTCCTATATTTGGCACAACAATCATTCCCAATCGTCCTCAACTATTCCTAGTACATAAACACATTATTCATTGTGTCCGTGCTCGTAATGGCTACAAAATGACAGTCTGACCACAGCACACTTCGGTTTCACGGCGCGAAAACACAATGCGCTCGAGCTGCAAACCTGACCGTTATTTTCCCCGTTCAGCAGTCGAGGCAGCTAGCAACAGGCCGGGATGGAGCGAACTCGGCGGCGAGAAAAACACCGTTTTTCTTAACGTAATGCGGTTGTATATAACGGCGACACACTTACCTTGATTTGGCACCGGTTACTTGTATCTCCACAGCGCGTATGTTTTAATGAAAGGGATGCTTGGCGAATCGTGGCGGAAACAGGAACTAGGGAGACTGACTGCTGCTGTCTGAATTCTCGCTGTTGGCTCTTGAGGAGGCTGCTCGCTGTCACTGGGCTGCACTGCGCATGCGTGTGTCAGATCACCACGATACAAGTGCTCCTCAGCAATGAATACAATTTCTTGAAACTCATTATTCATGGTTTTGCCAGCGTAATGATACTTATTTTCTCCGTGCAAAAATGACAAATATTTCACTAATGACACCGCAGACCAAGCAATTTAATGCGACCGATCGTGTGCGATTGTATTAAAAAAGTAAAGCCCACTATTAAGCAAATAACACACTCTCGATGTAGTAGGCCTACATATTAATAAAAAATAAGACATATTATATTTCTAATAAACGTCCAGTCTAACATCAGGCTCGAAAGTCTAATGTTCAGTGTTGAAAATTGAAAATTGTAAAAATCTGAAAATTGTACTGGACATTGCATTCCTGTTTGTAGCCTGTTTGTCACTGTTTATAGTCTTTATAATTTATACACTTGCATAGCCTATTTACATTTATATACTTCATGTTTTGCTCTCAGTATTTTATCTAGAATTTTTCATGACTTGATTTGTGATCATCATAACAACTGTACAATTACGTATTGATTTGTTTTTAACAGAAAACGATTCAAGTATTTTAACATGTGAAAATAAAAACTTTGTTTGAAGCCCATAAGTATGACAATTAATTATGACTTTGTATCTCATTATTTACTTTTTTTGTCATAATTATATTTTCTATAATAATTTCAACTTTTTATGTCATAATTAGGCCTATGATGTCGGTGAAGCAAAAATACATTTCACGAAAAAGGATGAGGAATACATGGCCAATACACTGCTGTTTAAAGCTTTTATTATAGGTCTAAGATATCAGTAAAATTTAAGGACTATACAAAATGCAGAATTTGGAAACCCTTTTATTACAGTGGTGTTTTAATTCTTTTTATATATATATATATATATATATATATATATATATATAATTTATTAAGATATTAGTGGATGACCAATTAGATATTAATCATTTTGTTTATTTTCTTAATATTGATACTGTTTATACTTTTATTATGGGTATGATTTTATTAACCCATATTATTTTTATACTCTACAAACGGTATATTCTATCCTCATACACTAAACCTGGCCAGCACAGAAAACTTTCTGCATGATTTTCAAGCCATTTAAATTACAAGGTCTCAGGAAATGTTCTTATAAACACATAATGCCATTGTAATACCCATGTCTTAATATACACACACACACACACACAGAGAGAGAGAGAGAGAGAGAGAGAGAGAGAGAGAGAGAGAGAGAGAGAGAGAGAGAGAGAGAGAGAGAGAGAGAGAGAGAGAGAGAGAGAGAGAGAGAGAGAGAGAGAGAGAGAGAGAGAGAGAGCAATCATTGTTACATCACTCCCACCCAGTGGTCTGACTGTGGAATCACACCATGAACCTCTCATTGGGTTTTATCAACTTGAAACAGGACAGACACACAAATCCTATTTTTTACAGTCTATGCACAAATACGGAATTACATTAGTATTCAATGCAAAGGTTTTTACATTATAAAAAGCAAAATATGAAAATAGCAAATAAAAACAGACTTATATGAATAATAGGGTATGCTGCTAAAATGTGAATACAAACACGAAAAATACTGAGAATAAAATATAAAGAACATTAAATGAAGGTCTTATTATTGTGGTGGTCTTATTATTGTGAAGATGTATTATTTATAGGTTTATTTATACTTTTCTATTTACATTGCAGTGGCATCTAACTATTAAGGCAATATAATTATTAAGTCAGTTGTCTATTCTAATGGCAACGAGACCAGCGCGATGTTTGTGTTGTCAGGCGGATTCCTTGCTCGTCGGAAGCATCACTTTGCGCACGCGCTTTGCGCGTCAGGTTAGTTCCATAGCAACCGTAAAGAACAACATGGTGAGTTCCCATCCTGTTTGTGCCTTTAAACGCTTGTTATGCAATGTTAATGGGTGCATTATTACATTGTTCTAAATAAGGAAAACTAGCGCTTGCTGTTTATAATGAAAAGATGACATTACTCAGGCTGCAAATACAAGCTGCTTCAATGGTCATCACTTGAGTCAGGGAGTTGCAGCAGATAAACATTAAACGTTAGCCGCCTTGCTAGCTGTTAGACATTAGCTGGTTAGGTTTAAATGTGCAAAGTTATTTGCTTGTTAGGTATTAAAATTAGTATAAATATTAGGTTAAGGTGCAAAAATTATAACAGACTACATATGATGTCAATGTACTGTCTAGGATAGGGAGCTTTTTGTAAGTTAGCATGTGACGTTATTCATTAGACTAACGTTAGGGAGCTGGTGAATTTAATAACATAAGGTTGCATAACGTTAACTGAATTGTTTTCCCTACATTTTGTTATTGTTTTTGTTTCCAGCTATTAACTATGTTTTTGACATGACAATGACGATAAACTTCCCCTTACCTTGCTGTGAGTGACTAATCAGTTATGTGTGTTTTTAGGCAAAAGCAACAACTATTAAAGAGGCCCTGGTGAAATGGGTAAAACATTTATTACTAATTTAGTTTGTAGAATAACTTTTTTCAAGTTTTAAAGGGATAGTTCACCCAATAATGTCATTAATTACTTACCCACGAAATGTCGTTCCAAACCTGTAAGACTTTCATGAAGATCTTTTTGATGAAATCTGAGAGCTTTCTGTCTCTCCATTGACAGCTACGCAATTGACACTTTGACATTTCAAAAAGTTAATAAAGAGATCGAGTCCAAACGAATTAAGCGGTTTAGTCAAAATTTTCTAGACACACGATCGCTGTATATGATGAACAGATTGAATTTAGGCTTTTATTGACATATAAACATTCATATACACACCAGTTGTGGTAAACAGAAGCTCAAGTATGTTCGCTTGATGTGTGAGAACCAATGAGGTTCATTCTCGTGTTACACGTCAAGCAGGTTCGGATGATTCTCTTTTTATGTTCACTAATCATTGTTTATATGTTAATAAAAGCCTAAATTCAATCTGTTCATCATTTAAGGCGATTTACATTTAAAACGATCTTGGTGGTTGTTGCGTAGCTGTCTATAGAGGGTCAGAAACCTCTCAGATTTCATAAAAAAGATCTTCATTTGTGTTCCAAAGATGAACGAAAGTCTTAAAGGTTTGGAACGACTTGAGGGTGAGTGATAATGACAGAATTTTTAATTGGGTGAACTAACCTTTTAACCCATTAGACATTCCTAGTATAAACTGAAGGTTATTTTCTGTGTACTATTAATTATGTTTATTGATTTCACTTGGTTGTTACAAGGAGGAGAAAACAGGCGAAAAAGCGAGCGAGGCCACGGCAGTAAAGCTTTATGGTCAGATCCCCCCCGTTGAAAAAATGGACGCATCTCTCTCTAATCTTACCAACTGCGAGTGAGTCTAAATATACAACTCCAATTTTTTTGTGTATTTTCTCTTTAACCATCTTCCATGTGAGTCATATATAATAACTCCCTAAAATATCTTCATTGCAAATTCTGTCCTGCCTAGGAGATATCCCTGTCTACAAACTGTATTGAAAAATTGCCAATTTGAATGGTCTAAAGTAAGTACTCCTTCAGATGCAAAGCTGTCAACTGCATTCGTCATGATTGCATAACAGTTTATTTACATTTTTTCTCCCAGAGAACCTTAAGATATGTCCTTGGGGCGAATTACATCAAAACCTTAATGGACTTGTAAGTAAAGGAACAGAACATTATCGCTTGAAGAATTCAGAGATAATTCACACAGCTCTTATGTCCCCCACAGGAGGCAGTAGGTGATACTCTGGAGGAGCTGTGGATCTCTTATAACCTCATAGAAAAGCTGAAGGGAATTCACGTCATGAAAAAACTCAAAGTGTTATATATGTCCAACAACTTGGTCAAGGAATGGGGTGAGCATGGGAAATAGACTCACCTGAGAGTCTGATAGCAGCTTAGTCAGGGTACTTAAAGGGATAGTTCACCCATCATTGACATTTACTCACCCTCAAGTTGTTCCAAACCTGTATGAATTTCTTTCTTCTGCTGAACACAAAATAAGATATTCTGAATATGGTTATCCAAACAGTTGATGTACCTCATTGCCTTCCATAGTGATGAGTGAAGAATTTTCATTTTTGGGTGAACTATCCAGGATGATGAGTTTATGAGGCTGTTTGTTCCTTAGGGGAGTTTCTGAAGATGGCAGATCTTCCATCATTGGTGGACCTTGTCTTTGTGGGAAACCCATTAGAAGAAAAGTATGCCGCTGAAGGCAACTGGATAGAGGAGGCTACCAAGAGGCTTCCCAAACTTAAAAAGCTAGATGGTAAGTGTCATATTTGTGATGACATGAAAAAAAAAAAAAAAAAACATCATATGTTAATAAGGCCATGGTTGCAAAAAATGGATTCCTCGTCATTTTCATTTTTAGGGAACCCTGTCATCAAACAAGAAGAGGAGGAAGCTGAAGGAGAGAGTTAATGCAATTTTTTACACATTTTTATTGTTCAAACACCAGCATTTTTACTTTTAAAAGTCTGTGCAATATTTGCATTTTTAGGTGTATTTATTAAAAATAAAGATAAAAAGCTAAATCAATTTTCTAGAGCTTTAACACTATTTGAATAGATCTGAAAAGCACACACTCGAACCATGTTTTGTTAGCCTCGGCACAAGCAGAGATACACAATCATAATTTATGGGTTGTGCAGAAGGACATGGTACTAATTACACTATAATAAGAATTGATGCATGTCATTGTTACCTCAATAATTTTTCTACTTGATCTAACCCTTAAAAATCACTTTATTAATTTAATATAACTTAATTCAGTCATATTGAATCATATTTTTTACTTGAATTACCAGTTAATTCATGTTACCACATGAAGGACATATTAAAAGTTAAGAAAGTTAATGACTAAACTTTTTGACGTTGTGCTTTTCAGAGTGACCAATGCTAAAATGTAACGGTAAAATACAAGCCAGTGATATTAAAGCAAGTACAAAACTGGATGGATACTATCAAGGGTATGACAGAGACTATAACCTTTAACCTCTTTAATAGTGGTGCTATTCTTTAGTCTCTATTAGAAAAAAAAAATCTATGTTTCTATTAATTTATATTCATAATGTTCATTAATGACTATCAAAATGACCACTTTTTTAATAACTACTGTAAGCAAAACTCCTAATTAATAGGCATTATTCTGTTATTATACAGTTTCATTACCAAGTGTATTGTTAACACATTATATATGTGGTACTTATAACAAGTTGCACAATGAGAGTAATCGAACAGTTTGTAGCATGTCTTGTGGCCAAATAAAGGCACCATAATTAATTTTGTAATTAAAAAGTTAACAATTTTATGAATGTGTTTAAAATTTTATATTTACAATTTTAAGCATGTTTTAACATTTTTTGACCCCTGTACATGTTAACTGTTTTTGTTTACTGTTTCACAATGAAAAAATAAACTATTTTGTCCTCTGCGCAAAAGTTATATTGTTATCTTTTCAAATCATATTATTATATATTACATTATCATTAATGTTATATAGGCCCTAGCATTCAATTTTTTTCATTTATGGGGTCAACAACAGAAGGGGGCAGTAAAGTTCTTAAGAAGTAAAGTTGTACAAGTCCAACTTTACCCATATAGACCTAACATTATGAGGAAATGCTGTTCCCTTTAATTTAGATCATTTGAGAATTAATTTCTACATTTTAAATACAGCAATGGAATCATAAATGAAATATACAAACATTAAATCAAGAGTTATGCAGTGTTTCTGCAGTTTTAATGCAGACGTCATCGTGGTGGGCTGCCTACAATTCCTATTGGTCAGGATTCACGTCAATCATGAAGCGCGCCAAAACAGCAACTAATCAAAACGGCGTAAATATCACCCAACTAGGAAGTGGCTGTTGCCTAACGACCATCAAGACTGTCAACATACTACACGAAGAAAAATGCAGCGCGAAAAGAGTGTTAAAGTGAAAGAAGTAATCACTTCTCTCTGCAAACTACTGTCTGGGTTAAGCATCGAGTCGATCCCGACAGCCGAGGCTTTCAGGAGAGCCAAATTCAATAGAGAAGATTCGGTAAGATCTACACGGGTGGCCCTTTCTGTTATTTCCTGCCAAAAAGCGGTGTGTGTGTGTGTGTGTGAGAGAGAGAGAGAGAGAGAGAGAGAGAGAGAGAGAGAGAGAGAGAGAGAGAGAGAGAGAGAGAGAGAGAGAGCGCCTGTACCCTATGGTGTGTACACACTATGGTAACATCATGTAAATAATATCTATCTATCTATCTATCTATCTATCTATCTATCTATCTATCTATCTATCTATCTATCTATCTATCTATCTATCTATAATGAAATGTAACCATCTGATACCCTTATTGTACTATGGTACTTTAGTATAGATAAGTCATCGTTAACTAGATAAACCTTGCTTAGTGTGCCCATAAATATGCTTTTCTTTCAGGCACTGGACATGTGGAGTTTGTTATGTAGGCTTCTGCAGAGAGCCTTTGCACTGGATTGTGCGTGCCACTGCCAGCACTCTAAAGACTTTGGTAAAATTTATCATTACCCATAAATGCAGTCCATGTGCTATTCATTATTGTTTGTACAACCAACAGTGTTGTGCTTGCAGACATGCAGATGCTGTTTGTGAGGAGTGCTCTGTGGCACTGTGGCTATGGGGCCCCGTGGGTGTTGAGGCCCCTGCCCCCCAGTCGCATAGACGAGGTGGGGAGCCGAGATCTGCTCCTGGCGTTCGGCTGGGTGCTGTCATCTGGGAATCTGTTGGACTTCCTGCTGGCAGAGAAGCTTCATCAGTTAGACATGCTCTCATCTGCACCAATGGTAAGACCTTGAGTTTTGTTGATCAGATCAAGGGCGAGATGACTCATTTTAACAGTTGCTTTTCTCTGGATGCTAAACAATAGGGTTTTGTGAATGAACAGTTGTCATGTTGCAAGTTAGTACATCAAATTCTATTCTATATAAGGCCAGCAGAGGGCAGATTAACACTGTATTTTATGCACAGTGATGCACACAGACAGGACATGAATTTCGACCTGTTATTCTTTAATAAAAACTACAGTGTTGTTATTGAAATCATATCAGCGGCCTCCTAAGAAGAACATTACACAAAACTGAGACACTAAACAATTAACTTCTGGTTCTGTTTGCTCTTGGTTGACTAATCTAATTGACTTTCTAATAAAAAGCAATCATGAATGGAACACAATGTATAAAATCCTGTTTGCCTTTAAGATCAATTTTAAAGCTGTTTCACTCTTTTTAAAAGTCTAATTGGTTAAGACCTAAAACTTTAATCTAATGAAGACTTTCTAAGAGTCAGTTTAATCTGTTTCAATGGTGCTTGCTAAGTCAAGCATCACTATTGCTCATACATAGGATTCATTATATTAACCTTAAGTATACATCAGCCTGTAACTCATCCCACACGGTTTGTACAACAGTCATGAGGAGAAGTGTGCTTTTATGATTCAAAGCATTTCGACAACAACAACAAAAAAAAAAAACTCACAAACTTACTATATTTACGAAGCAGAATATCAGAGACTTTAAGGTTTGCTCTTTTGTCTTGTAAGCTAGTTAGCTAGCAACCACTCAGAACACCCTGATCTGTTCCTGGGGGTTTTCCACTCATGAAAACTCAGTGAACTGGTTAAAAAAATATCAAGATGTGTTATTTGATACCAGCGTTTACACATTTTAGGTGGAAAAAAGGAGTGTTGCACTCAGTGTTGCATTGTTCTTAAAACAAGTGCTGCATTCATCTACATCTGTATGGTGTTTTTATATACGTGCACATAAATCAGCATAGCATATTGAGCACAAAATCAGAATAGTAGTAATGCCATAAATTCACCTTTGCCATCACAGTAATGCATTGCATTTTAAAACATGTTAAAATAGTGAGGTTATTTTGAATTGTAATCATTTCAAAATATTACTGTTTTACTGTATTTTTAAAGTTTTAATTTTATAAACAATTGCTGAAAGCATCACTTTAAAATAATTTGTAATAATATACAATAGATATAAAATCTTCTTCTTTCAACAGCCTAAGTTGTGATTTCTGTTTTATGGGTTTAACAAAGCAAAAGCAAAATCTCCCCTGAAACCAGCTTGGGGTTCATGTCTCTCCTGAGGTTATATCATAAAACCTTTGATCTACTGAAGATTGTCTTTATCTTTATTTTTGTGTTGTAGGATTTGTTCTTTTTGCCTCTAGGTGTTGTTTCAGCATTAATAAAATGATTCTTGAAAGCTATTGTAATGATTTTTCCTAATATGTTTGCGGACATGTAAGATCCCCCAAGGTCTACCTCACGGACAGGATGACGTTGTGACATGTGGACCAGGAGAGGATACCACAGTAAAGACGGATCATTTACTACAGGCACTGCAGTGGCAATATGGGAAATTGAGGCTCCAGTGGAAGAGCTTACTTTCAGCCCAGGAAGAGTGGTCTAAATTCA